GTGGTGTGGGGGATGGTGTGGGGGATGGTGTGGGTGGTGTGGAGGCTGGTGTGGGTGGTGTGGGGGGTGGTGTGGGGGATGGTATGGGTGGTGTGGGTGGTGTGGGGGATGGTGTGGGTGGTGTGAGGGATGGTGTGAGTGGTGTGGAGGATGGTGTGGGTGGTGTGGGGGATGGTGTGGGTGGTGTGGGGGATGGTGTGGGTGGTGTGGGGGGATGGTGTGGGTGTTGTGGGGGATGGTATGGGTGGTGTGGAGGATGGTGTGGGTGGTGTGGAGGATGGTGTGGGTGGTGTGGAGGATGGTGTGGGTGGTGTGGAGGATGGTGTGGGTGGTGTGGAGGATGGTGTGGGTGGTGTGGGGGATGGTGTGGGTGGTGTGGGGGATGGTGTGGGTGGTGTGGAGGATGGTGTGGGGGATGGTGTGGGTGGTGTGGAGGATGGTGTGGGTGGTGTGGAGGATGGTGTGGGTGGTGTGGAGGATGGTGTGGGTGGTGTGGAGGATGGTGTGGGTGGTGTGGAGGATGGTGTGGGTGGTGTGGAGGATGGTGTGGGTGGTGTGGAGGATGGTGTGGGTGGTGTGGAGGATGGTGTGGGTGGTGTGGAGGATGGTGTGGGTGGTGTGGAGGATGGTGTGGGTGGTGTGGAGGATGGTGTGGGTGGTGTGGAGGATGGTGTGAGTGGGGTGGGGGATGGTGATTCTCGCATCTCAGATTATTATTGACACCAAAAGAGCATGAAAGATATTATAATGAAGCACCACACAACAAAGAAACAAACTAATGTGTCCTGGCATATGTTTAAAAAAAAAAATAAGAAGGTTGTTGGGGCCGGACGGATGGAACGAATTCCGCACTGGAACGAATCGGCTTCGCCCCATATAGTTCGTTCAAGTGAGGACACACTGTAGATGTCACGTCTGTGAAGGGAAAAAACATAATTGTTTGAAAAACTGTGTTTTTCATGTGTTTTTCTTGTGGGGGAAATTTTTGAAACCTCTTTACAGATTGCTTTGAAAATTTGACAACGTTGCATTCATATAGGCCGGTGTATTTATATACCTACTATATACATGCCTCACCTGTGACAGGAAAAAACATGCGTTTTTTTAAAAACAGTGCAATCTGTTGAACGTAAGAGCAACACACACACTATACTAAATATGTTACGATTCCATTTCAATGTTTCCGATTGTATTGATTAATTGAATTTTCATAAATTATGATTTATTTTCATTTTGATTTAATTATTTTGTGGGACAATGCGTTGGAATTGAGCTGTGTTGTTTACCATACTGTTCATTTCGTAAGTATAAGTATAGATGCCACCAGTGACAGGTAAAAACATTCTTTTTTTTAAGAAACAGTGCCATCTGTTGCACGTAAGAGCAATTCACGCTATCTATCTATCTATACAGTGGTACCTCGGAATGCGATTGTCCCTGTATGCGAGATTTTCGGAAGGCGAGGTGTATTTACTCCAAAAATTTGTCTCGGAAGGCGATGGTTACTTCGGGAGTCGAGTTTGAACGCGAGTTTGTTGATACGCGTACAGCCGACCTAGCGCGTGGTCGTTCGGCGATCGTCGCCCCTCTGCCCCGCTGCCCCTCAGTTCACCATTGTCTCGCGCGCAGTGACTACCCCCACATCAATTCTTGTCGTGAATTTTCAGTGTTTTGTTGGATTTTTGGTGATTTGTCTATACAATTTGTTATTATATATCTCACCATGAGTCCCAAGAAAGCCAGTGGTAAGGATAAAGGCCAGAAAGCTCATGTGAGGATGACAATAGAGGAGAAACAAGAGATCATTCGAAAGCATGAGAACGGTACACGTGTTGTTGATCTTTGTAGGCAGTACAACAAAGCGACATCAACAATATGCACTATACTTAAGAAGAAAAATAAGATTATGAGTGCTAATGTGGCAAAAGGAGTAAGAACATTAACGACACAAAGACCACAAATACTTGAAGAAGTGGAAAAGTTGTTATTAATTTGGATACACGACAAGGAGTTGAGGGGTGATAGTGTTTCGGAGGCCATTATTTCTGAGAAAGCCAGGGTGTTGCACGAAGACCTTCTAAAGAAGACCCCTGCAACGAGTGATGCAGATAAGAAAGAGTTTAAGGCAAGCAGGGGCTGGTTTGAAAAATTTAGAAAGAGAAGTGGTATCCATAGTGTTACAAGGCATGGGGAGGCAGCCAGCTCAGACAAACCAGCCGCTGGACGATTTATTGACGAATTTAAAGAGTTTGCAGAGGCTGAGGGATACCTACCGCAACAAGTGTTTAATTGTGACGAAACAGGACTGTTTTGGAAAAGAATGCCTAAGAGGACATACATTACCAAGGAGGAAAAATCCTTGCCTGGACACAAGCCTATGAAAGATAGGTTTACGCTTGTGCTGTGTTCAAATGCGAGTGGCGATTTAAAAATTAAACCCTTGCTAGTGTATCATTCTGAAAATCCAAGGGTTTTCAAACAGTATAATGTGCAGAAAACCCGTTTGTCTGTGATGTGGAAGTCTAATAAAAAAGCATGGGTGACTAGGCTTATTTTTTCGGAGTGGGTGAATGAAGTGCTGTGCCCTGCCATAGAAAAATATCTGCAGGAGAAACAATTGCCACTCAGAGCCGTGCTTCTCCTTGACAATGCTCCTGCTCATCCTCCAGGCTTGGAAGATGATTTGATGCCTCAATACAATAAATTCCTCACAGTTAAATTCCTTCCTCCTAACACCACTCCTCTAATTCAGCCTATGGACCAGAAAATCATAGCGAATTTTAAGAAACTGTATGAAAGGGCACTTTTCCGGAAATATTTTGAAGTGACTGAAGCCACAAACCTCACCCTCAGAGAGTTCTGGAGAGAGCATTTTAACATTTTTAGTGCTTTAAAACTCGTTGACAAAGCCTGGCAAGAAGTGACTCAAAGAACCCTGATCTCTGGCTGGAGAAAATTGTGGCCTGAAGGTGTGAGAGAACTAGACTTTGAGGGGTTTGAGCCTATAAATGATGCGCCTATCGTTGAGGAAATTGTTAGTCTAGGCCAGAAAATGGGCTTGGAATTGGATGGTGATGATGTGGAGGAGTTGGTGGAAGAACACAACGAAGAACTGACCACCGAAGAACTCCTAGCCCTTCAACAGTAACAGCAAGCCAACACAGCAGCGAATGATTCTGCATTGGAGGAGGAGGTGGTGGCAACAGCACCAGCGAATGTCCCTTCTGCAGTAATGAAGAAGGTGTGTCAGATGTGGGAAGAGATTCAAACAACTATTGAACACACTCACCCAGACAAAACTGTAGTAGGCCGTTGTCTTAATCTTTTCAATGACAATGTGATGCCTTACTACAGAGAGAGCTTGCGAAGAAGGGAAAAGCAAGCTTTCATGGACAAATATTTGGTGAAGAAATCGAGCAGTGAACCTCAACCAGGACCTAGTGGCACTCAGGTTAAACGTCCCAGGGAGAGCACACCAGAAAGGTCCTCACTGCCTGATGTGATTATGGAAGGGGACTCCCCTTCCAAACACTAACTCCTCTCCTCCTCCCCCCTCCTCACCATCTTCCATACGCCTACAGCACTCGACAGTAAGGTAAGTAATAACTGGAACATACTTTTGTAGGTTTATTTAGATGAATTAGGTAAATTAGGTATAAAAATTTAGTTTGATGTGGGGTTTTTGGGGTAGTCAGGAACGGATTAATTCATTTCCCTTTATTTCTTATGGGGAAATTAACTTCGGAATGCGAGTTTTCGGAAGGCGAGGCGTCTCCAGGAACGGATTAAACTCTTATTCTGAGGTATGCCTGTATTTTCATTTTGATTTAATTATTTTGTGTGATTGTGTTGGAATTGAGCTGTTTTCTTTACCATACTGTTCATTTCGAGAGTACAGTATAGTTTATTTTTTTTTTTATTTTTTTTTTTTTTTTATTTGGTTTTTTAACTGATTTTCTTATACTTCAGTGATGGGAACAGCTGGGGCCAGATTCATGAAGCAATCACGCAAGTACTTACGAACATGTACATCGTTCCTCAATCTTTGATGGCTTTGGTTACATTTATTAAACAGTTTACAAGCATGAAAACTTGCCAATCAACTGTTGTTATTGTTATAAACAGCCTCCTGGTGCTTTGGAGCTCATTAACTGTTTAATAATTGTAAACAAAGCCGCCAAAGATTGAGAAAAGATGTACAGGTTCGTAAGTGTTTGCGTAACTTTTTTGTGAATCCAGCCCCAGATCATTTGATGTTCCCAATTTTCTGATGGGAACATCAGATCATTTGATCATCAGACAAGGGAGTGGGGAATGGTAGGAAGGACGAGGGGACAGGAGTTGGGGATGGTGAGGAGGACGAGGGGATGGGGGGAATGGTAGGGAGGACGAGGGGATGGGGGAGTGGGAGATAGTGGGGAGGACGAGGGGATGGGGGAGTGGGGAATGGTTAGGGGGACGAGGTGATGACGGAGTGGGGGATGTTGGGAAGGAAAAAGGGATGAGGGAGTGAGGAATGGTTGGGAGGACGAGGGGATGGGGGAGTAAGGAATGGTTGGGAGAAAGAGGGGACAGGGAAGGAGGGAAATGGTGGGGAGGACTGAGTGGCAGGGAAAGTTTGCAGTGGCTCAGCAACGCACATGCGTTGCTGAGCCACAGCAACGCGTAGCCGGGTACATCTAGTCTGTAATAAAATGCTGTAATGTATTTGTGAATAGACCAGAATATCTTAATTTTTATCTGTAAAAATTCTCTAATGCTCTTAATCATATTTTACAACCCTGTAGGGACATTACCTAAGTTATATAAAGTGATATTTATGGAGCTGAAGAGTATACATTCAGATAGGCACTTTCAAAGAGTTCAATGTATATTTTTCATAATCGTTTTTGCAGAAAAAGCCTAGTGACAACAGCAATGAAAATATATACCTGTACTACAAAATTTATTAATAAAATATTCGAGGAGTGTTAAAAAAAAAATTATCACTTTGTACTTACAATGTGTTAATTTCTCCAATTTAGCGTAAGTGCTTGAAATATTTCTTCCAATCAACCTGGAAAATAAGTAATGTTCATGATGCAAAGTGTCAAATACCTGGAACTCTTTTTAATATACAGTATATGCTATTTACACATCAAACTATTTTGAATATTGTTATAAGCCAAGACCACAAAGCCTTGTGCCAAAAAGATGCATATATTAAAAAGGCAGAATTTTTTCATGTTAAGTTCCTATTTAAATGTAGTACAAATTTCTGAAGATGACTAAACACAGAACTATTATTTTCTAAAGAAACTCTGCACAGTATACTTTCATAGGACAGTTTACCAGGTTATATAATTTATTTTACCAAATTCAGACTAAAAAAACTATAATTGTTAACCAAACCACACTAGAAATTGAAGAGATGACGACGTTTCGGTTCGTCCTGGACCGTTATCAAGTCGAGTGTCAATTAACTTGATTGTCAATTAATGGCAGCTCACACACCTAGCTAATTGCAACAGAGTAGAGCAGGTTGCAATTATCCCAGATATCCAGAGGACACTTAAGGACAGGACGGACTAAAACGTCGTTGTCGTAAGAGAGAGATCCTTGTGTAGGAAGAAATAGTGTTAAAAGTTTAAAAACAGTCTGGTACTTTTACCCCTGCAGATATACAGAGCATCATCTTAACAAGAAAATGTCATCTCCTAAAAGCAATGTAAACAAAAGTGATAAAACAGTTAAAAAGCAGATTCAATGCATGAAAATATAGAGAAACAACAGTGTTAAATGTAGAAAAACAGCCTGGAACATTATAAGACAAATGAACTATTGGGAAATGTGTATGACATGTATAGGGATGAGACATTATTGGAACCAGACAGGCAGGGACAAGTGCAAGCCCCTCTTGTTCACTTGGGGGGGAAGAGGAAGTGGGAGAAGGACCAGAGTCACTTGTGTGTCTTGGGATGGTCTCCAACAAATAAGGGCAGTATTAGAGGTTTTTATAGTGGTGCTTCCCTTTTTGTATGATTTAGAGATAAGAAATTGTAGAAATAAGGATTTTAGAACCCTGTGTGTAGGTAGAGTGGTGTGTTATTAATTCATGTGCATGTGCTCAGCTCTGTCACGTGGAAGCTATCCACATTTACTTTGTCCATCCCTTTGTGTATTGTGGTCAGAACAGTGTATTATTAAATGCTATATGCCCTTTGTAGTTACCCAAGAGGAGTGGAATATAGTAATGACCTTAAGTCCCAGTTTGTAGAGGCCTAAACTGTTGTGTGGACCCTTGTGCCAGTTGTCCCCTGAGGTGTGTGTTGGTGGGAAGGAATCATAAGATAATTGATGATTATCAATTATACCCCCCCTTTGTCTGTATCATTCCTGTGGTAGGTCCAAGTACACCCCCCCACCCCCCGTTCTAATCGGTGTGAGATAATCTGGTATTGTTAAATAAAAACCCTTTTGTAAAATTGTACCCAACGTGTATTTCTTGTCCCATGTAATTAGAACTGTTCATTATGGCTATATAGACACCTGCACTCCCATTATTTATAAGAAAGTACGAGCGGGTGTTAACAATACTCTAGGGTACGGCTTTCAATCCCGTACCTTACATCGTCTCTTCAATTTCTAGTGTGTGGTTTGGTCAACAATTTCAGTCACGTTATTGTGACTTTTCATCTGCAAAATTATAATCCATGCAATACATTAATTTTATAATTTAAAATATAACTTTTAACAGGAAAAGTGTAGGTCCTGATTATCTGAATCAAATGGGACCAGACATACTGGTATAACCAGGGCAAACCACATCCACTGGAGAAAGAAGAGGTGGTGCAGGTGGAAACATGGTTGAAGTAACCAACACCACCAAATCCAAGACCCTAAACACACCAAGTGGGTCCAATCCAGAGCATCCAACCAGGTACACAACCTAGACCAATGCAACCACCAATGCATGCGGTCACCACCAGATACTGCTAAACTACCAGAGCGAGGGAAGAAGAGGCACATGTTGGGAACAAAACCCACACGACTCGGGGTCAAAGGTGTCACCGACCCAACAGGTAGCATGGCTGAGGCAGAACATAGGAACCTCGCCAGGTAGCAAAAACCCCGAACAACTCCAAAATTCAAACAAGGCAAGAACAGCCTCAGAAGAGGTACCCATAGAACAACCGAACCCGCTTGGGTTTTCCAGGGCCTGCAGAAAACCAAAGTACTTGGAACACCACGCTGGTAACTCCTGTATCTTGTACAGGCACGTCTGGCTACCTGAAGCCAATGGAAAGGACTAGGGAGCAACAAAGGGGGGGGTTAACGGCATCAAACCCTGGGTAAAACCTAATAAATGTAAAGTGGAAATGCCCCAAAGCAGAGAAAGGGCAAAATGATGCTTTTGTCTCGAAAAGGGACAAAACTGCAAGCCCGGAACCCCCTAGAACCAGTCCATGGAAAACAATCCACCAGGGAGAATTGTAGCACCAAATGGAGGTAGAAACTCGCTTAGATGCGTCGATGAGGTCTCGCAAACCACAATGCACCACACCAACAAAATACACTCCTATCCCGAGGAAAGCCAGATAGTCGAAGACCACAGGCTTACCTGAAGGGCAAGGACCACCCCAAGTAAGGAGACCCCCCCCTAAGGAAATGCATCCTGAACACCCTAGGAAAGACAACTCTGACCGAGCAGGGGCAGAATTTAAAGAGCACCCAGGGAAGGAAACCCTGAGCACATGCAGCTTTAAGCACACTAAACTTTTAGTGCACGCTATGCAAATGCATATAAAACAGCCTCAAAGCAGGCTGTTTTATATCCATTTGTTTAACATATGTTAAATCACCGTCTTAATCTGCAGTGCCGAAAGTAATAAGCAGAGACACAAAGTCGTAATGTACAGTATAATGAAAGTAACCTTTCCAATTTGGCTCCTTATAGCCAAACTAGGCAACCTATAGCCCAACGTGGCAAACCCTGCCACAAAGGCAAACACTACTTGGATAAAACAGGCGACTGGAGCCAGAGCGACAAGAATGGGCGACCATGTAAACATCAGAATAAGTAGTAGCCAGTGGTGAAGTAGCCAGCTAACATGGTCTGCCTCCCTCCTCCCCCACCCCCCAAACGAGGATGGGAGGTGATGCATTCTAGCGTGTGGTACTTGAAAAGAGCCCCGGAGGCTCTCTGAAGCTATCCAAATTGACGTGCGTCATATTAGTTTGGTGTCATCAGTCACAAGAGTTCTGTATACTTACTGGAGACCAGCGCCAGAATCTGATCCCCCTCAGAGAGGTGCAGGGAGCAGTGGCCATATGAGCACTATATTTAGATTATGTCATGTCTGTCATCGACTGGGGGAATACTCCCAGAAAGTTAGGCGAAATACAAACCCCCAACTAGTGAAAATTGCAACCGATGTCAGAACAGAGCCAAAAAAATCCCCACAAAAGAAAACAAGCAAACAAGCAAATTATCATCTAACTTGTGCACCCGCTCGTTAGCACTCCCCCAATCGCACTGACTAGGAGGGGGAGCCTGCTCAGGCAGCTCACTATCCCAGTACATAGAATAATGAAAACCACTGACTGGAGGGAGGGAGCCTCAAGGGCTTGCCCATAAAATAATGTTTCATTACATTCAACGCTGGTTTTCTGTGGGAAATCCCATCGGCTCCCTGAAGCTAACTACCCACTGCAGGTTGCAAAATGAAGAGACACTAGGCTCCGACAGACGTCCCAAAGCAACACAAGGCCGGAGAGGGCCCAGAACATTTACAAGATACTTGGCGGCCAGAACTATGTTCGACCTCCAAAACCCCGTGCTTGAATGTCGACCCAAGACATATTACCAAAAACAGCAGCCAGAGCAGCATACTTACGTACATCATGGGCACGAGGGTAGACCGCAGGCTGGATAGACTTGAGTACACTGCAAACAACCTGAGAAACACGAGCCCTGGAACAGGTAACCAGGGAAACCAGATCCACCCAGAGCATGTCCACAGACACTGACCCAGCGGCCCGCAGGTAGCAACGTAAAGCCGCCACTGGACAGAAGTGGCAGCTTTACACCCCGATGCATCCCGGGCCTAACCTACCAAGCATCCACAACCAAAAGACCCTTTCAGAATTCAGCCGTCCCATTCTTTGCCAGAAAAGAAGGATACCTGGTTGATGGGGTTCTGGGAGTTCTTCTACTCCCAAAGCCTGGCCTGAGGCAGGTTTGACTTGTGAGTTTGGTCAACCAGGTTGTTGCTTCGAGCAGCCCGCAGGCCCACATATCCACCACAACCCGGCTGGTCCGGCACTCCTTGGAGAAAACAATCTAGTTTCCTCTTGAAGATGTCCACAGTTGTTCCGGCAATATTTCTTACACTCGCTAGTAGTGTGTTGAACAACTGTGGACCTCTGATGTTTATACAGTGTTCTCTGATTGTGCCTATGGCACCCCTGCTCTTCACTGGTTCTATTCTGCATTTTCTTCCATATCGTTCACTCCAGTACGTTGTTATTTTAACCCTTAAAGTGCCCATCACGTCATATGACGTGTTGGACGTTGTTCCAGACAACTGCGCATCACGTCATATGACGTGTTGGAGTACTACGCAAGATTTAAACGGCCCGTGGATACACGGGGTTCACCACACCTTCATCAGGGCTCTTGTAAACAGACGCCATTTTTTTTAAAAATCGTGAACCAAACTCCCGGGTGTTATTGGCCTCAGTATTGAGTGAGCAACCAAGCCTGACGCACGCAGCATGAGCTAACAGCACTGCTGTTCAGCTTGTGACCACAGCATCGCCTAAAAATGCCAAAATATACTTCATGCTATTATGTAGCGATGATATTATTACAGAAGACCCCTGACTGTGATAAAACTGACCAGGGTTCTGATAATAGCAGGATTGTGGTGATATTTAGCACTGTGCGCCATGGAGGGAGGGAGGGTGTGGGAGGGAGAGGGTGGTGGCGATGTCTTCTGACTGTGTGTGGCCACCTTTTATTGACTGCACTCACCATACCAGTTTATTGGTTCGCTATGGTGAATACAAATGTAG